CCGGAGACCGTTAAAGACGCCGGAAACTGCGAATCATCCGTTTTCTCCAGAAACACATCCGATCTCCTCCAATCTTCATCGTCTACCTCCACCCACTACTCGCCGGAAACTGCTTCGTATCGCCGGAAAACTCATAGATCTTCATCATCCCGCCCAGATTTCTTCATCAACCTTCAGAAGAATCTCTAGAAATTCATGAAGATTCTTCAAACCTTCATCGTTCTTCACATAATTTTCCAGAAAACCTAAATCATCATCCGTTCCTGCACATTTTCCAGATCCTCACAGATCAAGAACGAGCCTTGTGATTCACAGATCTCCAAGAACTCGTTGAGTTCTTCGTTGCTTGCCCAGAAACCTTCGAGCGATCTCCAACGACGCCTTCAACCAAGATCTTCAAGATCTCCGTCAAAGAACCTTCTCCTCCGTGAATATTCGTCAACGACGTCCAGGTTCCATTTTCTTTTCCTTCTGCTCTTTGCATGTACGTCTTAGATGTAGGATTAGTCTTTCTCGCTTAGGTTATGGTGTTTAGCTGAGTTTTAAGTGGTTTCGAGTGGTGTTGACGGTGTTCTGGAAGGTTTGTTGTTGATGGTGTTGAACTGAGGAAGGAGGTGATTGAGTTAGGGTTTGAGAGTTTCAGAAGGAGAACTGGAGAGAAGGTTTGAGGGATGCGCAGCTAGGGTTGGCGTGAACAGTAGACGGGTTTGGGGAGAGGAGGGTTAGTTTTGTTAATTGATTGTTTGGGTTAGGGTTAGAGTTGGGCCAGGCCCAGCGCGTATTTGCTAAGATCACACACCCCTGGTACTCGTTACCCCCCCCCCCCCTTTGTGAGAAAACTGAATGGACTTAGGTGTGGGCTTAGGCCCCACTGCTATGCGCACCCCCTTGCATTTGGGCCCAGCCTGAAGCAACTAGAATTAGTGCTATTCGCCCCCCCCCCTTTTGTTTATTCTTTTTTTAATTTTCTTTGTTTTCATTCATGTTTAGAAAAATTCATAAAAAATAGTAGGAGTGTCCAATTAATTTCCTTCTTTTTTCTGTAGGTTCCTAATTCAATTTAGAATTTTATAGTGTAAAATAGTGAACTGATCATGCATTTTCATTTTTATTTGCATTTTTGTATTTTAATTGATATTGAATAACTGATTTGTGACGTGTCTGCCTTGCTGATTTTATTTCTCTCATTTGGTAATGAATTTTGCTTTAGTTTTTTAGTATGTTGTACTAGACTGATGCATGCTCCCCATAGGATTTTTTGTGGATTTTTTAGAGATTGATTGATGGTGTTTTAGGGTTAGAGAATAGAGACCTCATAACTTGCTGGTTAGCCCTTGACCATTCACATGTTAGGGATTGTTAGTAGCCTTAGAAGTTGACTTAGGCTTTGAGATTTGATTTTGGGATCATAGAGCCATGTAGGTTTCCCCTAGATTTTTGGTAGATTTTTATAGGGTGTTCTGTTATTTTTGCTTGAGCTTGAGAATAGGAGAAGTCTTGAAGGCTTTTGACTTTGAAGTTCAACTGTGGTTGAACTTTAGAGATAATTTCTTTTGGGTTGAGGGCCTATGGTTTCTTCTTGGAGATGGAGGCTGGATGAAGTCTTGATGGAGCTTGCAAGGATGCATAGTTTGAGGTCCTAGTCTAGGAGCTTGCTCTCTGTTTGTGAGGTTTGAGATCCTGAAGTTTGAGGGAAGTTTATGGTACTTTCCTGAGGAAGACACTATGGATGTCTTTCATTCTTTCTTCTCATCTCTTTCTCAAGTATCCAATGATGTTGGAGCCTTCATGTGAGTTTAGTTTCTCTTGAGGAGGAATGTAAACTGATCACAGTTGTTGAGCCACATGGGATACGATTCCTAAGTGAAAGCCCCCTAGTACTTTCCTGAGGAAGGCACTATGGGTCTGTTCATTTAGTTCCCTTAGTTCATGTAGGATTTCTCAAGTATCCAATGATGTTGGAGCCTTCATGTGAGTTTAGTTTCTCCTGAGGAGGAACGTAAACCGTTCACAGTTGTTGAGCCACACGGGATATGATTCCTAAGTGGAAGCCCCCTAGTATTTTCCTGAGGAAGGCACTATGGGTCTGTTCACTTAGTTCCCTTAGTTCATGTAGGATTTCTTAAGTATCCAATGATGTTGGAGCCTTCATGTGAGTTTAGTTTCTCCTGAGGAGGAATGTAAACCGATCACAGTTGTTGAGCCACATGGGATATGAGTCCTGAGTATAAGCCTCCTAGTACTTTCCTGAGGAAGGCACTATGAGTCTGCCTACTTAGCTCCCTTTCTTTGGTAAGCTTGTCTTGAAGCTTGAAGACATCCTTATAACTTGGTCATCTTGTAGAGACGTGATCATCAGTAACTTATCTCTTACAACTTTCCCTCATATTGCCAATTCCAATATACAATAATTTTTTATTTTCAAAGGCCTTTCTTTGATCCTCAATCACTATGCTCCTCTATGCATTAAGGACATTTTATGGTATCCTCCTCCGCTTGGTTGGATCAACGAAAATTCATATGGTATGACGGTCGGTACTCCACCTCTTGCAGCTTGTGGGGGAATTTTCAAAAATTCCAAGGGTGACCATGTAGGCAGTTTCCTCCAATTTCATTGGTAAAGGTAATGTCATCACTGCTGAATTTATTGGTGATATGATAATTGTGGAGCTTATTGTAAATAAAATAATTTGACTTATTTTTGGCTTGAATCCGACAGTTTGCTTGTAGTGCAAGCATTTTCTAATCATTCTCTAACCCTTTGAAGTTAAAGGTGAGATGGATGGAATGTACAAATCTCACTCTCTCCATGCACTTCATTGTTTCTTACATCTTCAGGGAAGAAAACGCTTGTACAGAAAAGCTTACTAACATCAGATTCACTCATAGAAATTTCCTTTTGTTTGATCATACACATGCTAACATTAGACCATACTTTTTGAAGAATTGGAAAGACATTTCTTGTTGTAGATATCTACCTTAGAAGGAGTTTTGGCGTGGTCCCCCTCTTTTCGTGTAAGTTTTTTCTTCTCTAATATATTTCTTAACCCTTCGCCTTCGCCTTGGCCTTAAATTTTTTTGATGAGATTTTTGATTAGGTCTCATAGACCACTTATAATTACTTTTCTTATAGATTAAAAATAGTGCACTGATAGTGTAAAATAATTTTACACTACTATTTAATAAAAATTCATCATTCAACCATGTGACATAACTAATTTAAAGCTATCAGTGTGATTTCACAGAATAAAGGATAATAATTAATTGATAATATAAAATTATTTTACATTATCATTTTTTTTATATATGGGTACCCATCTCTTTTTTTTTTTAAGAAAAAAAGTGTTAAAAACACATGAATGGTCATATTCATTCATTACTATGCAATACATTATTTGATTGATTCATATATAAAATAATTTCAATGAATGTGTATAAAATTAAAATGTATATTTTAGTTAACATTAATAAGCAAAAGTAATCTAAATTTTTTTAAAAAAATTCAATCACTAATTTACAAAGTGACTATTTCCCTATCATAAACTAACGAATTTTTTTTAAGTATAACAATATTATTTAATTAAAACACTAAATAAATCAAAATTTAAAAAAAAAAATAAATCTAAAATGACTAGGTTTTAAAGTGTTGTCGCCAATTGATGGGGTGAGTTGGGTCAAAGTAGGTGGAGTAGCCAAACCAATTGGCTACTCCTCCTATTTGTATTTTTTTTTAATTTTTTAAATTGAAATAAAAAACGTAAATACTAAAAAGAAAAAATAAATAAATGAAAGTAGGGATGGCAAACAAACCCGGGCCCGCCCACACCCGCCCGGGCCCGCCCCGAAATTAACGGGGGAAATCCGATTTAATTGGGTGCGGGTGAAACCCAGTTCTTAACTACGGGTGCGGGTGCGGGTAGACACTAAGACCCGCCCGCACCCGCACCCGCCCCGCCCCAAATAATATATTTTATTTTGATTTCCTTATTTTATTTATTTTAATATTTATTTATTAATTATACTTTTAATTAAGTTATTAATATTCTTATTGCAATTAAAATAATAAAATTAATTAAGTTAATATTTATTTATTAATTAAAATTTTAATTAAATAATTAATTAATTTATTAAAATAATCAATTTTTTAATTAAATTACTAATTTTTATTATAATTAAAAAAAAAATAATTTTTTGCGGGTGGGGGCGGGGCGGGTGCGGGTGCACCCGGTTTCTACTAGGGTCTGGGTGGTAAATTTTCACCCCCGATTGGATTTGGGGGCGGGGGCGGGGGCGGATCTGTTACATGGAGGCGGGTGCGGATATTGTTAAACCCGCCCCCGACCCGCCCCCGTTGTCATCCCTAAATAAAAGGAGTAGCCAAACCAATTGGCGACTCTCTATTGAACCAGCTGAGCATGTCGTCATTTGAAATGGCGAGTCCACTTCATTTGGACTCTGTCGTTAATTGGGCCGGTGATCCAACGTAAAAACTTAGTCGTTTTAATAAAAATTTTGATATTTTAATTTATTTTGTATTTTTGTTAAAAGACATAGTTATATTAAAAAAAAAATTCTAAACTAAACTTTCAAAGAAAACATTCTCTTTGTTAAGTTTGTTTTCCCAAACCTATGAAAAAACAAAGACTATATTGCATTGTTTATCATTTGTTCTAAGAACACGTGACAATAACATACATAACCATTTAACGCTCTGTGTTGAAATCATGACGCATGGCTCGCGGTTATAACCCAAAAATAAAAAACGTGACATTTCCATTGCCGTTCATTCTTGTTACATTCCATTTCCAAAATATAATAAATAATAATCAAAAATCATTTTCAAAAATTGTAGAACGTAGAAAACAGAAAATCAAAGGAGTCGATCGAGAAAGACACTTTCAATAATTTGACGGCGGCGGGTTAGTGGCCTACCACCATACCACCGTACCGGCGTTACCACAAACCCCCGCAATACATACGTCAAAACAATAATCAAAACGATGTCTTCTTTATCATATTCTTCACCGTATCAACTCTTAGAAATTAACATCATTTCAGCACAAGATTTATCTCCTGTTTCGAAATCTATCAAAGCCTATGCAGTCGCATGGTTAAATCCAGAAAGAAAATTAGCCACACAGATTGATCAAACGGGCCACACCGATCCTACGTGGAACGAGAAATTCGTTTTCCGCGTCGACGATGAGTTTCTCGCCTCGGAAAATTCTGTTATCATGATCGAGATCTACTCTTCCGCGTGGCTCCGTGATGTCCTCGTCGGAACCGTCGCTGTTCTCGTTAATAACCTCATCCCGCCGGGAACTCGATCCGGTACCCGGAAACCTAAACTCCGTTTCGTCGCTTTGCAGATTCGTAGACCTTCCGGTCGTCCGCAAGGGATTCTTAACATCGGCGTTTCGCTGCTTGATAGCACGATGAGAAGTATGCCGTTGTATTCGGAGTTGAGCACTTCCGGGGTTGGATTATGGGATCTAGCGGAATTGAATCCAAATAAGAAGAAGATTACTAACAATTACGATAATAATGCAATCACGGATTCGAAGATGTTAACTCTTCAACGTTGCCAGAGCGAGAGAAACGATTCGACGGTTAACGATTATTCATATTACGGTGCGGGAAAAAACGGTTATAACGGTTATGAGGAATCGGAAGTGAGCACGGTGGTACAGAAAAAAGGTGGAAACGAGGAGTCGTTGTGCTCTGATGTTGGACCTTCGCCGTCGGTTGTTGCAGCGGCAATAGCAAAGGGATTGTATCCATTACCGGCGAGGATGAAGACTGTGGAGAGGGAGAGACCGGTGGTTGATGAATGGTCAGAGAGTAACTATTCGGAAGGAATGAATACAAAGATAGAAAGGTGGCGAAATGAGTTGACGCCGATGTATAATAAGGAAGAATGCGACGAATTGGATGAGGTTATTAATAAGCAGAAAATGTTAGTGCAGCAAACTCCGAGGCGGATTGGGAAAACCCCGGGACGGCCGCCATTGAGTAAGAAAGGGAAGTTTTCGTGTTTTGGAACTGCCTTTGGGTGTGAGTTTTCGATTTCTTGTGGAGGGGGTAACCGGAAAAAAAAGGGTGATAAGGCTCGTCTTACCTCTATTTCAGAGTTAACTTATGGTGATTCGTCGATATCAGGATAAAAAAATCAATTCACTAAATTATAAATTAATCATTCCAATTTTAAATATAAGTGACATTTAAATTAACAAAAAAAATGAATTTACAATTTATAATTATAAAATGTGTATGATGTTTTAGATAGGAGTGATTTTTATGTTGATGGTGAAGGAATTGGAGACTTGTTTTGCACCATTCTGCTAAATGTAATTGGGTTATATTAGCAGAAGGAGGAAACTATGCATGATATGCTAGAAGGATGTCTTCTCGGATCGAGTAGAAATGAGAGTATAGATCTCATCTCATTTTTTTTTTCTTTTAATTTTTTGGTTTCTGTGTATATTGGCATTCAATCAATTGAATGAGTTAAATGTAACTGGTTTTCTTTTTTGTTTACCTATGCATAATGTAACTCTTTTAATTTCAATTTATTTACATTTTTTCTTGAATCTGTGTTGTTCTTCATTCATATTTATTAGATCTATATAATACATGCAACAATGACACTTAGAAAGTTGAATATGTTAAATCTTTGCGATTCAAATAGACAACCAACATAATTTGATTTTATTGTACAATAATAATAACATTAACATAAAATTGTAACAACACCAGATTTTTAATGTGAAAAACTTTCCTTAAAATGAGAGAATAAAATTTATAGATTTAGTAAAACATTTCGCTATATCAATAATAAGAATAAAAGTTCTTCCTAATAACATTATGGAATAACAATTTTCACCGATAAACAATAAAGGTGGAAAACTCAATCCAAATTGTTGGGCTATCCCTCTATTTGGAGTCACCCAAATGTATGTGGGTTAGTAACTCATGCGAATGATCTTTCTTTTCATTGTGATCAATTATGCAATAAGTATTTGTAAAAGTAATTTTATACCTCTTGTCACATAATTGACTTATGCTAAGAAGATTATGTTTAAGGCTTTCGACAAATATTATATCAGAGATAGTAGTAGAAGAGGGATTACCTACACTACCTTTTCCAAGTATTGCACCCTTGTTGTTATCTCTGTAGGTCACAAATCTTTTCTTCTTTGGTTTGAATCAATGAATAAGGAGATGTCACCCGTCATATGCCTTTAACATCCACTACCAAGAAACCACATTCTCTCGGTAGAGTCAAGACATTCAACCTATAAAAGTTTTACAAGAGTGACAGGTACACAATTTTTATTGGGTCCTTGAGAGTGAATGAAAAAATTGTTGTATTTAGGAAACCACTGAAAGACACATTTAGGAATAAAAAATATCCTAAATTTGCATTTAGCAATGGTATGCCATTTTCTACAACAATAGTGACAAGTCAAATAACGATGAGAAACATTTTCGCTAGTTGACTCTTTTGCAACAAAGTTATACTTTCTATAAGGTTTGTGTAAAGGTCTTTTGAATTTTGTTGTATCAACCACGAAAGTGACTTTTGGTTCTAAAGCCTTGATTAATTTGACCTTTGGAGTGTTTACCTCTTTTTGGCAAATATGACAAGTTTCACAACTAAACCAAGATGATTTTTCATCTTCAATCTTTTCTTTTTTAGCATCTAACATGGTTTGCTTAAACGCTTCCATTTGTTATTTCGTTTCTAAAATTTTAGCTTCATAATATGAAAATATTTTCTTACTTGAAGTTAACCTCTTAAAGGCGTCTACGACTTCACCATATAGGTTTTCAAAATCAATTTGTAATTCATAATGAGACATATCATCAATAGGTTCATGTTTAGAATGTTTTACCTTTTCCTTCTTATGATGATGGGACACTATCATTTTCGAAGATCCTATTCATAACATGATCAATGATGCATTTGGAGTTGATATGAATCATGCTAATGAAATACCATCTGCGTCAAATTTAGAGATTGGCCAAGAAGATTATGTGATGCTAAGTGCAACTCAGGAAAGAAACGAAGCCAATGAGTACTATGAATTGACTAGAGAAGGAGAACAACCTTTATATGAAGGGTGTAGACGATATTCAAGACTATCTTTTTTGGTTAAGTTGTACCATATAAAGTGTTTATGTGGATTGAGTGAGAAGGCAATGACAATGATTTTAGAGTTAATTAAAGATGCATTTGAATATGCAAACATTCCAGGTTCGTTCTATGAAGCCGAGAAATCAATCATAAAACTTGATTTGAATTATGTAAAGATATCTGCATGTCCAAACAGTTGTATGCTTTATTGGGGAGAAGATGAAGAAAAGGAGACTTGCAAAAATTGCAACACTTCAAAATGGAAAACAAATGAAGCGGTCTTTGTTAACAAGAAAAAGAAAAAAATTCCTGCCAAGGTTCTTCGTTATTTTCCATTAAAACCTCGATTACAGAGATTATTTTTGTCATCAAAGACGGTCGAGGATATGAGATGGCACGCAATAGATGCTAACAACGATGGAATGTTGAGGCATCTTAGAGATTCAGAAGCTTGGAAGAAATTCGACTTGACACATACTTGGTTTTCATCAAATCCGTGAAATGTGTGTCTTGCATTGGCTAGTGATGGTTTTAATCGTTTTAGTGTGATGAGTTCAAACAATAGTATTTGGCCAGTTGTTCTCATTCCATATAACACTCCTCCATGGTTTTGCATGAAACATACATCATTTATAATGTCAATGATAATTCCCAGAAAAGAAGCACCAGGAAATAATATTGATGTCTACTTACAACCCTTAGTTAAAGAACTGAAACAGTTATGGACAAATGGTGTGGATACATACGATTCTTTTAAGAAAGAGATGTTCAAGTTGCATGCAAATTTGATGTGGATGATTAGTGACTTTCCAGGTATGGGTGCTCTTTCTGGGTGGAACACATACACAGGGATTGCTTGCCCATCATGTAACTTTCAAACTACATCTCTCCGTCTTAAAGCTAGCCGTAAATGGTGTTTTATGGGTCATCGTTGTTTCCTTGATCGGAGACACGGGTTTAGATTGAACAGGATCCCTTTTAATGGTGAACAAGAAATACGGAGTCCACCGAGAACATTATCTGGACATGAAGTTTTTAAATAGGTTAAAGATATTGAAGTCATATTTGGTAAAAAGCCAGTGAAAGAAAAATCGCTAAAAAGAATATTTGAGGGACAACCTATAGAAGGTGATAGTACACAGTGTGATCCTACACTAGGTCATCATCAACAATGGAGAAGAAAAAGCATATTTTTTTAACTTCTGTATTGGAAGGATAATCTTCTGCACCATAATCTTGATCCAATGTATATTGAGAAAAATGTGTGTGATAATGTCCTATTTACTTTACTAAATGATAGACAAAGGAGTAAAGACAATTCTAAAGCTAGAGATGACCTTCAAAATATGGGCATAAGACCTAATCTTTGGCCTGATGAAAATGGTAGAATTTCTCCGGCATCCTTTAGTTTAATGGGTAAAGATAAAAGGAATTTTTTAACAACTTTAAGGAATATTAGGGTGCATGATGGTTATTCAAGCAACATTTCTAGATGCATTGACTTAGTAAATCTCAAGGTAAATGGAATGATGAAGAGTCCTGATTGTCATATATTAATGGAACAACTTCTACCATTAGCCATTTACAACACATTACCTCATGAGATTTCAGCAGTTTTGATTGAGTTGTGCTCATTCTTTAGATAATTATGTGCCAAGGTATTGAAAATTGAAGAATTGGAAAAATTGCAAAACCAAATTGTCCTCACTTTATGCCACATGGAAATGTTATTTCCTCCCTCATTCTTCACGGTTATGGTTCACTTGGTTGTTCACCTTGTTGAAGAAGTTAAACTTGGAGGTCCTGTTCACTTGGTTTTTTGTATTACATGACATGATTATGGAACTTTCATTTTACATGATTATGAAACTCACGTTTTTTTAATATTATAATACTTATTTGATATTAAATTTTGTAATTAATTTTACTACGTTAAAAAGCGATAGAAAATAAAATTAAAAAAAAAATACTATAAATAAAAATATTATTGTATAAATAATTTAAAGAAAAAATAATAAAACTATTTTAGTAGATAATAATTTAAATAAAAGAATATATTATAAAACAATATAATACAATACATAAAAATTAATAATGATTTACACGGTTGCTAAATGTAAAAATTAAATAATTAGTTGCGCTTTAAATCGTTACCAAATAAATTATATTTAAAATTTTATAAATCAAATTACAACGGTTTGAACCGTCATATTCACGATAGTTTTAAACCGTCACAATCAACAATGGTAACAAAAATCATAAGTATATTCACAACAGTATTTAACTGTTGTCATTTCTAGTTTATGTCAGTTCCAACCAGTCGTGAAATAGAGTTCACGACAGTTTTAAACCGTCACAATCAACAATGAAAAAAAAAATCAAAAGGCTAGTAACGATGGTCTTTAACCGTCGCCATCTCCAATTTAGGTCAGTTCCAGCCCATCGTGAAATATAACGACGGTTGGTGTGGCGGTTTTGGCAACCGTCGCTAAACAGCCCGGGGACACACGTTTTTGTGACGGTACTACAACCGTCGTAGAATGTAATTGATGGTAATTTTAACCGTCGTAACCTGCCAAAATAACCATCATTATCCATCGTTTTTTTTGTAGTGGTGGCTCAAGTTTGGATTCCAGAGGCTTCTTTCTCAAAGCATGGCCAGGACATTATGTATTTGTAGAATCTTCTCCTTTCCACTCTAATCCATTTCCAGACATATATAACTTTTTAGATGGGAGACAATATTGTTCCTATCACACCAAGCATTCTTCGTTTTGGCTTAATAACTTTTGTTCACACTATAGAACCCTTTATTCCTACTTTTCCCATCTATTATAAACAAGGAACTTACCATCATCATCAGATTCAGGAACTTGAATGACATGGAACTTGTTATTATTGTCACCAATGTTTGTCTAGTTCAAGAACAGTCGCACCCTTGCGCGAAAATAAGGTGCCGGCATGACAGAAGAGTCGCCACCTTTCGTTATTTATCCCTCAGAGCGGGAAAGGAAACGATCGGAAAAA